TGCAACCCTAGCAGATTTGCCAGCACCCACCCAACCCTGCAATCCTAGCAGAGTTGTCGGCGCCCGCCCAACCCTGCAATCCTAGCAGATTTGTCGGCGCCCGCCCAACCCTCCAATCCAACCAGATATGTCAGTGCCCGCCCAACCCTACAATCCTAGCAGACTGTCAATCGACGTGTGCACCATACATCATGGTATGACCATCTGTGCACCATACATCATGGTATGACCATCGAGACCATAAGTCATGCCCTTCAACCGGACTTGTTCCTTTTCATATGGAAGCACGAAAACATCCGTAAGATATTCGCATCGGCACACTCCGTGCCTGAGAAATGAGAAAGAACCTTCCCACATTCTCACTTTCTTAATCTTTGTGCAAAATCAACCACATCATGCAATGATTCGCAGACAGACAACATAGAAAAGAAGTGCTAATACATTGGCTTCAGCGGGTAGATCACCGCTCCCCATACGGATACTTCGGAAGAGCGCAGTGCCAAAAGACCGCCTAGCAGGTAGATCATCCTTGCCTATCTAAACATACCATGGGGCAAAGGGCCAAAACATGGCCATCAGTCAATCCTCCCCTTTTGGAGAAGACGAGATTCGAATTAAAAAATCGGACTACGTCTGGGGTGATGAAAAGGTAGGCTGCAATGTTTATCAAAGGGCCAAAAGGCCAAAAAGGTGCACCGTACACTTTATTTCTAGCCATTGCATTGCCTAACGCTAGTTCTGAAAACCGCAAAATATGGGAGGCTGTAATTTTTCGGTCACTAAAGGCTCACTGCTGTTTCCAGCAGACAACATTTGTATAGCATGCCTTTCTATAAGGAGCTGGAGCATTAAGGTTAAACTCCCCCCATTCCACGTCTATAAGGAGCTGGGGCATAGGGGTTCCAACTCCCCCCATTCCCCGTCAACCCATAAACATTCCCCCTGAGAAGGGCATATGCTGGCAGCGGACAAAACGCAGCGTCAGCAAGCCACAGATGTCATGAAGTCTACTGACCTTATTGTGCCCACTTTGGTCGTCGATTTCAATGCCGCATCTTCGTCATCATTGCATCGACTTACTCTTTTGTTGCCATAAAGCAATGCATCCACTCACACGAGGACCTACATGGGACTTTTGTTTTGTCTTTTCATGGTGAGTGCTGCATTTTGGTTATGATTGCATGGTCGTCCAATCACTTTCACCAGGCGACCTTGTCTAGGTTATCTACCACCCCGCGAATAGACTGGAGCATTGTTTAAGGAAACACAAGGGGTTGCCCGCCGCACATCAAAAGTATCCCAGGTGGCGGTAGGGATGATGATGAAGGAAGTCAATCGATGGTGGCGGCGATGATCACAATGATGATGATCAGGAATGCTCCCGAGGATGATGATGATGACGATGATGGTTATGATAACGATGAGGGATGCTTGTGACCATGATGACGATGATGATGATGATGATGATGATGACAGTGATGACGTGATGATGGTGGTGACGATGATGATGGTGGCAACCATCATCTTGGTCTTCATCCTCCCTCTTCCTCCTCATCGTCCTCACTGAGTTTCCATCGTCATCCTCCTTATCGTCATCATCATCCCTCCTCGTCCCTCTTTCCTCTCGTGATTGTGGACTTCTCTCTCTTCTTGCTGACCGGTGTTCTTTTTCTTTTGGCATGATCAACTTTCCCCACACAGGCAGCATCGGTGCATCGTCTCTCTCTCTCTCTCTTTCTCTCTCTGTGTGTGTGTGTGTGTGTGTGTGTGTGTGTGTGTGTGTGTGTGTGTGTGTGTGTGTGTGTGTGTGTGTGTTCTGGTGATGCTCGTCCTCTTGTCTTCCGCCTCTCATTCCATCTTCCCCCTGCGGCTGTCCCCCTCCTCATTGCGATCGCTGCCCTCTCTCTCTCTCTCTCTCTCTCTCTCTCTCTCTCTCTCTCTCTC